CCCAAAAGGCTGGGGCCCTGAATGAACTACGTCCTTTTGTAGTCTCCAACAACGCCCCATGCCCGTGGCTTTGGAGGGGGCAGCCGAACCCATCCCAATGGTATCCTGCTAACAATGTCCTCTAAGCAGAAATGAAGAAGAAGAAAACAGAACCGCGCAAGGTAGCTAACTAAGCGTAACAATTTGCTGAATACCCTTCTCCCTAAAAGCACAAGAAGTGCGAACTTCCCGGATTGCCGATACAGGTTGTCTATCAAAATCGTCCAGTCCGGATGTCGTGCGCTAAAGGAAACACGACACCCATGACTCCTTCCGGGTTAGGAGACTGGAAAAGTCTCCGCATATGTCCAGAAAACACAACTCATTATCGTGTCCCGACCCTACAAAATTCAAAACGCCCGCGGGTCTCACCCGGGCCGCACAGCCATAATCGGCACATACATGATTCGTCCTGTAAATGGTATAAAGATGCTTGAAAATATGAAGATAAAGGAGCAGAGCTCGCGACAGCCTCTGCTTTGGGTATAAACTTTTCCGCTGCCAGAAAGTCGACCTAAGCAGTTGCAGAAGCAAAGAAGAAAGAGAAATGGAAATAAGAAGCCAATCATATCGATACAGCTTTCAATCTGAGTTCCAAGTGCAGAAACAACGCTCGCTCTAATGAAACCGTGCAAAGTGAAAAACAAAAGTGCGTCGCTTCATCAACTCGTCATTGTCGTTGCAATTCGATTTAGGTAAACGGAATGCGGAACTGCTCGAACTCGTCCGCCTGGCTACGAGCATAGGAGTCGGTCCGGCTTTCGGATCGATCACGGATAGCTGGTCGGTCAATGCGGCTGCGGCGTTCATCGGAGTAGACGGTATCCCTATCGCTACCACCAGCAATGCGTGCTGCCTGGCTGATGTTGATTTCGCCGCCATCCTGGCACTGAATCTCGGCGTTGCCAACTCGCAGGACGGCGTGACCCGTAACCTTGATGGTGATGTCGTCGCCGTCAATGGCAGAAGACCGGGTGGTCCGCGTGGTGGCGCTTCGTAGGAAGTCGCTTTCGTCGCGGCTGTCGCTACTTCCACTGGACCTGCTGCTCTTGCTCTTCTTCCCAGCCTTTGAGAGGGCCGCAGCAGTCAAAGGCACACCGCCGCCGCCGCTTACGCCGTTCTGGTAGGCCATTGCAGCAGCCTCGGCAGAGTCATACTTGGACTGCGAGTAGCTACCGCTTTCGCCGCCAGCCATGTACGAATGGCGGCGGCTACTGCGGGCGGGCGCGGGAGCAGGAGCAGGTTCGATCTGATATGCGCGATGGCTGTACGTGCTGGAACCCCTTCGGTGACCACGGGGCCTGGCAACAACGCCGTCGTCATATTGGTAACCATGGGGAACGATTTCCTGGTACATGGATTCTTCGCCATCGAAATCATCAGAGTCATAGCCCTGAGACATGATCTGTCGCTGCTGAGGATGAGGTTGAGGCGGGGGACGGAAAGCCTGCTGAGGGGCAGTCGTTCGTGAGCGGGGGAACGGCGGCGGCGGCATCAAGTCGCTGTCTCTGTCTCTGTCCCGAACCTTGAGAGATGGCCGTCTGCCAATGGGGATATTCTCTTGCTCATAGGTAGGGCCGGGTCCATGTGGGTGGGCGTGGGCGTGGACAGGGCTAGGATGGTATCCGTAGTTGTCGTACTCGAAGGTAGACGCTGACATGGACCGGTGTCCCATGGCCGACGAAGGCCTCTGTTGGAAGCGTTGGGCCAGGTTTGAGTGTCGGGGGCTGCTCGCCACAGGGGTAGGCGGAAAGTAATCGTTCGACGGCGGCGGAGGCGGATGGTGCGGCGCCTGCATAGGGTAAGGAACACTTCCGGGGCCCCAGGGGCCTGGCGATTGGGTGTATGAGGCGCCAGGTGCGGGTGCGAACGGCGACTGCACATGCGGTGATGGGTGGATGGGAATCGGCATAGGAGCGGGAGTAAAGGGCGACGAGGCATGAGAGGAAGGCGGTGCGTGGATCGATGGTGCAAATGGCGATGGGTTCGGGGCCGGAGTGAAGGGCGAAGCGTTGTTCGCGGCATGCCATTGCTTATTGGAGGTAGGTGGTCGGGAGCCTTGGCCGTAGTAGCTGGCAGGGCGACTTGAAGCTCGGGGACGCGCACCCTGTGCCTGTGCCGGCTGCTGTACACCGTACTGCGAGGATTCTTCTTCCGTAAAACGTGGTCTTCTGTATTCATCTGGCTTTTGGGCGGTCTTCTGGGTGTGGACGACGGGGGCCGTGTTGACGTGCTTTGTGGAGGGACGGGTTGCGGACTTCTTGGCGGCGGATCGCTCGCGCTTCTGGTGACGCTCCTCTCGTTCGCGCTGCTCCTGCTCGAGGCGTTCTTGTTCGCGACGTGAAGCCTTTTCCTGCTCCTTCTTGAGACGGTGTCTTTCCTCTCGACGACCCTGCTCTCGGGCGGCCTCGTCCCTTGCGGCCCTCTCGGCGAGCTTCTCGGCGGCTCGATCAGCAGCTTTTTGTTCAGATCGTCTCTTGTCCCTCACTTTCTTGTCCGGGATAGCGGGGTGAACGGTATCGTCCGAGTCGGTGTGGCCGTATTGCGGGGAGGCGGAGATTGGTCTCGTCATCCTGTCCTTATTGCGAGATTTGCCGCTGTTTGCCTTCTCTCTTGATGGGCTTCCTGGTGCGTGTGACTGGGCATACTTGTCGGAGCCCTGGATAACGGAGCCAGTCTCCTCGTCGACGTCTTCGCAGTGGGCAACAATCTTCCTAGGGGCCATGATGAAGCGGTGTCGATCGTCGTAATGGGCTATGGTGTGTTTGCGTTGGCTCGGTAGTCGAGCGACTGGTGATAAGAGGCAAAGGTGCCTCGACAGAGGCGAGCAATCGTAGGTTCGTAGCAAGTGATCGAAGGTGTGGTGAACTGGGGGGAAAGAACTTGGCTGCGGTGGGAATCGGGAACTTTTTTGTATAAAGGGCGGACGAGAAAGGCAGTGGGGATGCGGAAGGGGATGCGACCACTATCTGATGGAGGGAGGGCCCGTATTTGTGGGGATGAAAATCCGACCAGGATGAGGGGGGCGTGGAAATTGGGTGTGGGAGAAAATGAGACGCTGCGGATGCTGGTGCTGATGCTGGCTGGGTGTGCGAGGGCGGCCAGGTTACTCGTTGTTCGTTGTTGGCTACCTAGGTTGTCAGAAGAGTAAGGGTAGTTGAGGTATTATGGATCGTCAGGAGAAGCGCGGACGAGGGAGAGAGATGATATTTGTCGAATCTGTTGTTGTGTTTCGTTGTATACAACGTGGGATCGATAATAATCCAAGAAAACGGCGGCTGACCGTGGCCGTGGGCGGGCTGTGGACGAGCGTGCTGTCTTATTAATCCTGCCCTGCCTACCTAGGTACCTCACCCGACCTATGCTTTGCATTGCAGGTAAGGTACTTCCTTCGTACGGATAGGACAGGTAGCGTGAGTGCGTGCAGTTGCAATTGTAGTGTAATGACTGTTGCGCCGTGGGAGGAAGAGTCCGGAGCAAAGGGAGGGGAGGGCGAGCGAGGTGTGTGCGCAGCCCAGCAACTCATTCGCAGCACCACAAGTGAAAAAATAGCCTACAGAAAGGCCAATCGCGGGGACGGCCCTGAATTTGACGACCCGATGGAGGGGTGTGGTCACAGCAAAAAAAGGACCTGACAGCGGATGAGGTCTTCTCGTTGCCCGGGGTGCTCTGCCGCTCGTCCAGTGTCACTCCAATGACCGGCCAGCGCTCGATGATAGCAAGCACTACAACTGCCTCGAGTGAAGGAGGAGGGGCGTGTGCCTGAGTCCGCAAATGGCTGTGAGAGCTCTGATGGATCTAGAGACTTGGCTCCGGCTTTGATTCTCGACTATCCGAGGCGGACGGGAGCGCTGGAACGGACTATGGTTTGCGGGAGACGGAGGACAGGCCTGTAACGTTAGAGAGAGACGGAGAGGCAGACAGAGAGGGTGTGCGAGGAGATGGGCTACTGGTGCTGCCCAGCTTTGCAACGTCTCTCCCAAGTTGCACAGTCGAAATGCCAGGGTCTGTGACTGTCAAGAACGTGTGCGAGTCTGGAGAAGCATGGGACCCAAGGAGGACAGGGAATTTCTTTGCTGTCGTCACTTCTCCCTGTCAAACTGTATCGAAATCGCCTAAAAATGGGTGGAGGACAGAGATTGCCGGCTTGTGGGAACTTTTTTTATTTTTTTTTCCTTCCTGGCGCTCGCTGGGTCCTGGGAGTCGGGATTCCTGGGTGGGAAAACTGCGACAACCCACATCAGAAACAAGCTAGAGCTAACAGAATAGCCTCAAGCTCCACCGCGTGGCAGCAAAGACCGTCGAAAGGACTCAGCTAAAGTCTGCTGGACCGACGTCGAGCCAGTTCGTCTCGTTCCAGGAAGCTTCTGTTGGCTGTGGTTCATCCGCAGCACCGGCGTCAAACCAGGGAAACCCCTTCGACATAGCATTTGGCCGCAAAGTTGGGAACTGGGCGGTCCCCTGGGGCTCTGATGTTGGTGCTTTTCGTTGGCGCCGGTGCCAATCGTCGCCGCTTCGGGTCAGAGCGCCAGAAGCACTCAGGCCCAACTGTGGAGAAGCCCTTGTCTTTCGTTTCTTCCCGTCCGCGACCGTTGCAATGGATTTTCCCTCGAACGGGGGTCAAGAGCCTGGCAAGGCCTGCTGGGGTGTTGCGAATCCGTGGACGCCGCGCCCACAAGGAAGCTCTTCACAGCACAAAGTGCCCCAACCTTGAACTTTCCATTTAGATCGATGTTCCGTTACCGTCGTAGCGCTGACGTTCGTGTACGCCGCCCATGTGTTGCGATGCCAGACAGCAGAGCTGCTTTGCTTGTGCGAGTGTCCGACCAAGGGCTTTTTCTGCGTTGTGCCCCGATGGCAGTGTTTTCTTCTTCGTGCCGCCATTGAACTCTCGAATGCGACAGCCACCCCTTCCCTCACGCTGGCCTAGGTACTAATTACCGACGGAGGCCCTAGAACGCCTAGGTACTCGACGGGGGTGTGGCCACAGAAGAGAGGGAAACAACGCTTTCTGAGTCTTCTGCCAGTTGTCTGAATAAGACAGGATGGGCCGGCTGCCTTGGGCTGCGCTGTGCTGCTAAAATCTGGCTGGTGGAGGGAGTCTCCGTGTGCGCGGGAGATCCACCTCCAGGGCCGAACCAGGCGGGGGTGCCACTCAAAGATGACGGAGCGTTGCTATCTGGTGCGTTGTGCCCTTTTCGGTTGAGATTTTTCGACTTCTCCATCAAATGGCTGGATTTACTGCCCGACCTTGTGGCTGGGTTTGGCCTTTGGGTATCAACAGCGAAGCGGGCTGACGAACGACACCACGAGCATCCAATCGTTTGCCGCGCTCTGCGGCCTGCCAGACCCTTTTTCTCTCTTCTTTTGACCAAAAAGTGTTTTCGACTTCGGTTAAGATATTTGGGGGTGGGCGAGAAAAAGAAACAAAAGGGAGGTTCTCAGGATTGGTGAGGTGATCGACCGAGAGACAGTCCCTAGTCTGGTGCGCGCCCCATGAGGTGGTCGAGGTGGTTGACGACTCGGAGCATGCGCGAACCAAACATCAGGAGACGTTTCCTGTACTTTCAAAAGTTTCGTTGTCATCCTGGGTAGCGTAGGTAGACAACCGGGCGCCTTCAAATGGTTGACAAGCTTGAAGCAAAGTCTGCACATAATGCAGAACTAACCCCATCGCCCTTCGGCACCGCATCGCCAACGCACTTGCGCCGGAAAGCCCAATCATGGGCCCGACCCACCCGGTCAGGAATGCAGATTCATGCAGTCCGGGCCCGCTCGCTTTTCTCATAGGGCGGGGCCGGGACGGCAATGGGAGTCATCGCTCCATCTCGGACTTGAATGGCTGCTGTCCGTGGCCAACTTGTCCAAGCACAAATTAGTCCCTTGTAATTGTTGAACGAAGCCATGTAAGATGGCATCACGATGCTGAATTCCTGCAGTGTTGCCCGTCTAGATCTGTCTCCCCGCGTCTTGCTGTCTGTAGGGTATGCGTCTGATAGAGCTGCGTACGGATATCTTGGGGTACGATGCCCTGGTCCCTCTTTAGTAGGTACCGATCTCGCTGCAAGAACGACACTGTTTGCAGGAATAGCGTCACCGCGGTACACGGACTCGAGATCGACATCATGTTGTTGTTGTGGTCAAGTCACTGGAGTTTGTTCTCAATGTGACTCTGAACGACGTGTCGCCATGACAGCGTTGTTCTCGCCTCTTGGATTTGTGTCTCGAAGTCGAAGGTGGTCTCGAACTCCGCACTATCAGCTCCGATATGACCGTCCACATCAGCCAGATGATGTACTTCAAATTCTCCAATTGTACTGGACTGAAATGTCTCCCCCTCCATTCTTCTGCGTAGAAGTAGATTGCCGCGGTCTGATACCGTCGCAGTACTCCAAGTCTGAATCGTCCAAAGGCAAGGTGACATGAAGAAACATGTGCGATTCACAATTTGCCTGGCTGGCGCCTAGACCGTCCTCCACACGCTGTACGCAACTGCGTATTCCGGCTGCATGACATGCACCCATCCCACAGGCATCATCACCGTATACCAGCGCCCGCTGTGCATAAAATCCGTCTAGCGCGAGGACATGCCGAAATGGGTTCGAGTGAGGCCCTCCCGGAGCCTCTCGTGGCTCCGTCTTATCGAGGAAGCTAGTCAAAGTTGGTTTTATCCTCGTTGAGAAGTGGAGCATCGTCGCATCCAAGGTAATGAACGGGTCGCTAGGATCCTCGGTTCGGTATCTTGCGGAGAATGGATGAGCTCTGTATTGAGCTCGTTTGCAGTCAAGTGCCTCCGACCATCAACATTTGAGTCTCTTTGTGTTTTGTGCAGAGCTGCCGCACCAGTCAATGACCACGGTCAAAGACATCGTCATTACGAATTGTATGCAGAGAAGCATAGTTTGTGTGATTAGAAATGTGGAGGCCGATGACACGGTTCTGACGAACGTCTTCAAGTGTATGTATCCATCCAGATCTTCAGATCTGATGCACGCCACGGTTGCATTTGTTTAGCAATTTTGCAAATTATCTAGTATGGCGAGCCCGCCATTTGTCCGATATGCCACTCTTGCACGCTCGAACTGCATGAAGCCGAGAGCGGACGCTGCTGCAAAGACGCGATGGACTGACAAGTCGACATATCCGAGGCGGACGGATCGATAGGCGGTTGTTGGTTGTGGAGCGAGGAACTCGACACCATCTCGGAGCCACACCGCCTTTTCGCTTGAGGCATAATCCCTCAACGCCACCGTTGAAAGCGATCCCAACGCGCCACAGTGGTAGGTAGAATATGACATGGCCTGCCGCATTGAAGCCGTATGGCAGAGAAAGGACAAACGTATACAATATAATACGCAGCGATTCCGGAAGGTAATACCGTTGTGATCGTACCGTATGCGAACGCCATATCGACTGACTTTGGAGGCTTAAAATGACGCAACGCCACTCGTCGTCGGCCGTGTACATCGACTCGTCGATAGCCTGTTGCTGCGAGATCCTATCACTCGATGCCGAACGGTTGTCCAGCTCCTGCGCGCCAGTCGAATTCATTTGACGTCGAGACCTTGGAATGCTGGAGATGCAGGGAGCTTGTCTCGGAGACTCGGGCAGGTCCAGATCTGCCTCTTCTACGCCGCTGATTTGCGTGACGTTGCACGGGGGTCCACGATTCTGAATCCAAGCCACGATTGACGTGTAGTATTGTTTCAGAAGATATTGCTGGCCGTTCGTAAGACAGGAATCTCAACGTCGGCGACGACTGGCCTATGGTCAGACAGATAAACGCCGTCATCGAACTTGTTCGATAGCACGCCAAATGTCTTGATGGTAGCTGGGCTCGGATCCTTCACAAACAAAAAGTCGATTCTCTTCGTTTTCTCATCAGGCTCGTCAAACGACGTGTACGTGATATCGTTTCCGTATCGCTTCGCTTTAGGAACCTGAGTTGAGACATCGATCATGCCTGACTCCGGCGCCACCATTGTCTTGTAGGCATTGTCATCCGGGGTACTGTTGAAGTCACCCGCGAGCAGGACGGTTGTCGGAGGTTTTCCGTTCGCTCCTTTGCTCCACTCTCGAGCAACGTTGAGAAGCAGTTTGGCGCTCTGCTCTCGAGCGACAACTCCTATATGATCGAAGTGCGTACTCATGACAACGATACGCGAGTATGTTTGTTTATCGAGAAACTCCCCGACGGTAACAACACGGTTCAGTACGGCATCCCATCCTCTAGATGGCTTTTCCGGTGTCTTACTCAACCAAAGAGTTTCATTCCGCACGCACTGCCAACGTTCAACCTGGTAGAAGACTGGTGAGAATTCGCCACCTCGCTTGCCGTCATCACGACCGAGACCTATATGTCCCCAAGCAGGACCGAGGTAAGACTGGATGTCTTCAAGTTGAGAGTAGAGGACTTCTTGCAGACAGATGAATGCTGACTCGTGGCCAGTCGTGAGGAAGTCCAATTGGTTGCAGAGTTTCGGTCCCCGAAAACTCCACGATCTCTCATTGGGAGTGGGTTTCGTTGTTGCATACCGGACGTTCTGGCTCACTAGGCGGAGCACCATAGAACTTGCCGCTGCCGACTTTGTATTTTCAAGCTTGACGAGCATGATGACTGCGCAATAGACGATCAATCGAGCTGTGAGAGAACTTGAGATGTGTTGTACAAACAAACTTGGACAGCGGGAGCTTGACAGTAGGCCGGGGCCGTGCGCCTTAGCTGCGGAGACTAGAAGTTGACGGCAGAACGCCCAGGGGAAGGTGATGAGCGCGAAGAGCAACAAGAAGTCGGATGGGAAGGAATTTGATGAGTGTTCCCTGACTCGGCAATATACTGAGATGATGAGGTGCTGTTGGATGAATTGGATCGTTGACGTTGGAACAAAGCTGAAGCTCGCTTTACTTGAGATGGAAAGAGCAGGCATCCTCCTGCCCCATCTCCTGCCCTGCGGCTGCCCCAGCACCTGCCCGCCCCGGCCCCCGGCTGGCAAGTGGGTCACGTGCTGGTTCTGGAACCTGGCGGGGAAGGAAGCAACGGCCATGGCCCAAGCTCCTGCATTCTTTGGCGATCCGGGGTCTGCTGGGCAAGGTAAGAAGGTATTTTCGCCTCCCCCGGATCTTCCTCTTTGGAATTCCAAGCTGAGCAGCCAGCCCATTTTCGGTCCCTACCTTACATGCCTACCAACCAACCAACCAACCTACAGATATCGGCGCAACCACCACGATCCTACCGCTTAGATCAGCCTCGAAACATACGGTAGTGGATTCACGCCACGGACCGTGGCAAGAAGACAAATTGAGACGGCGGGTTTCCAATCTGTCAAATTTCACATTGGGGCCTGGCATTCCTGCTGATGCCTTCACCGCTGATTGATGGCGCCAGTATCTGATGGAATGCCTTGGAAACGTCCATCTTCCCAGTCACCAGTCTTTTGCGAGGTAGCTCGAAAGCTGTCACACACTCCCACGGCCCCCAAGCCTTATCTCCGCATTCTCGTTGGAAGCGCGACCAGCCCTCCCTCCATCTCAACGTCCCGAGACTCTGAATGGCGTTCTTACGTGGGAATAGCAGCTAGGTAAGGTAAGCTGGCGCAGACAATAGTCCAGTCTCACTGCCTTGCGGGTCGATTACTCACCATCTTAGGATAATTAGGGCAGCCTGGTGTCAGACGATCCATCCAGGCTTTCCCAAAAAGCCGGCCTCTCCCAGCAAGCGTCTTTGCGCGGCGGGCTGATACCAGCACGACGACCCACAAACCAGTCACGTTCTTATCACGGCCCGCTGCCCGACTTCATTTTTCGAGACGTGATTCAGGCCTCATGGGATGGCAGCGGCTACGGTTCTAGGAGATGTTCGTCCGCTCTTGTCAAATCCAAGTCATGACGCAATGTGTACACAGTCGGGGAACCAGCTGACTTGTTTCTAAGTCAAGACAGGACCTTGGAAAGAAACCAGGGTTATTCGGACAAACTATCGACATTTCCACTTCAATACGGGCCTCATTCGAGCTGCTTCGTATTTCGCGAGGTTTCGGGGGTTTTCTCGGAGAAGTCAGGAAGGTTGGAGAGGTCAGAGGCCTCATAGCCGTAAGACGAGTGTGCTGCATGCCCATCTCGCAGCGGTTCATGCACCGTGGCGATCTTCCATTTCTGAGGCTGAGGGTGGTGCAGGATTCGGATGGGCGACTGGCCGAAGCGAGGGTGCGAGCAGCAAAGGCTCCCGACTTCACCGAGGAATCATCGGAATTTGGCTGCCTTTTGTCCAATCTGCAGTGCGGTGTGAGGCCGGTCTGTCGAGCTGACTCAAATGCGCCACTTGGAGGCGTCATGCAAGGTACGCCAGCCGCTCTAGCAAGCGTGGGAGGGCGATCAAAAACTTGTCCCTTGGCCAGTCTAGTCGACAGCTGTCTTGCACATTCCTTGCTTGCAGGTCTATGGCCTCGAAAATGCGCACCGGTTAAGCGACGGTGGTTTTGCACACTGAGGGAATCGGCACGTTCGGTTGGCGCTATGGTGGGCAAGGTAGTCATCTGCCTGACTCGGCCTCCAACCAATACGTGTGGTGGTTGCAAATCTGTCTCAGCTTATTCATATAAGCCGCGGTAGTCGCGCGCCGGTCGACACACCCACACGGAGGAACGCGAAGCAACCAAAAGACCGGATTTCCTTGCGGTCTGCCAGGAATTGTGATAGATTTCAATACGAATCCCAGCCCGGTGCCTCAGCTTACCACCATTTCCGGATGCGTATCTCTGCTTCTGGTCGCACCCCGGCCATTTGGAGACACTGCACAGCTTTTTCCCAGACACTCATGGCGGGTGAGGAGTCACGCTCCTCATAGGCCTCTTTCACGTGGGGGTTGATGGTGGCTGGCTGCCCCGCGATATTGAGACCTCTGCACTGGGCAATAGGCACTGGTGACCACCATCTTCCAGCCATACAAGGCAGCTCTTGGCTGGGTTAATGTGACTGAGCCGAATCACCAGCCAGCCTGCAACCTTGTCGGTGTGCGTGCGTGCTTGCGTGTGTGGGTGGGTAGGTGAAGGCAGTGTCGGATAACGTCCGCCTTGCACATCCTCTGCCTGGCTGAGGCTGCGATGGAAACATATAAGTACGAGTACACCGCCTCGCCTCCAGCTCGTGTTCTTTCACCTCGGTCTGTCACGTTTTACAGCATTATATCATTGCTGAAACCACAGACAAGATCAAGCTACTTGCCGCTTCGTTTGGTATACTTTTGAGCCGGCGCAGACCGGCGAGGACTTAACTCGTCTTGTCAGTGATTTTACTGTTCAGACGCCTGTTTCCGCAACTATCAAGACCAATACAGAACCAATACCAATTTGACAAACAACCGGCGCGATGCCTCAAACACCAAAGACACCCTCACGGCGAGACTCATGGCCACCAACCCTGGTGCGCCTCGCCCCTACAATTCCCAAGGACTACCCATCTCTCGATGACATTGACGAGGACCCCTTGACCTACTTCCTCACACCCGCGCCCGATCTGGAGGATGACGACGAGGACGACATGACCATGATGGACTTTGACGCCGGCATCGAAGACGACAGCGAGCGCGAGATCGTCCGCAGCGTGAGCCCCTCAAGCCTGGACGGCCTGGACAAGTCAAAGGGCCGTAGCAAGTCGCCGCCTGTACCCGACCTCTCGGACCTCGCCACACCGGACACGGACGACGAGGAGGAAGATTACATCCGCTTCGCACCACACGGCTTCATGGTCCCCTTTAGCCTGCGCGACTTCGCCATCGACGGCCTCAAGTCCATGGCCAAGTCAAAGTCCCGCCCTTCTAAGCAATCACCGTCGGACAACAACGTGCTTCTCTCGCCGTCGTCGTTCCCGCCTACCCGGGGCCGAGCACCTGTGCGACCGGGCGGCGGGCGGGGCCGGCAGAGGACGACGTCGTACCGGCACCACCGGCCGCAGCATGTCTGGCGCGAGCCGAGCCCGGACGTTTGGTCTATTGAGGAGGAGACGGAGGAGGAGCTCCTGAGCGAGATGGGAAGCAGCGTCGGTGCCGTGAGCGACATGGAGGAGGACGAGAGGGAGGAAGACGCGACGGCGTGTCCGGACAAGAGCGGAGTCGTACAGGCTGCGAAGCAGAAGAAGAAGGTCCGGTTCCTGTTGCCCTCTTTGGAGTGAGGGACTGGTGATTTTCACAAGCATCAAGCATTTCACGGCGTTTCTGGGGTAAAGCATATTCTATCTGCATTGGGAGGTTTATCGTCACTTTTTACTTTCCTATCTTCTTTTCCTTCCTCCCTTTCGGTATACGCCGCCCTCTGGTAGGAGGTTATTTCTAACAGCATGCATGGGTGTATGGGAGTTTTGCACAATACCCGTCAATTTGGATGGTAATTTGGGTCTTGGAGCATTTCTTCCAATTTTTTCAAAGGATGTGGCACACGGGCATCTTTGGAGGGGGGCCATATGGGAATTCGGGGCACACACACACAGATTTTTAGGTGCATAATTGGAAGCAACCGCTATGAAGGGCGGAATAAAAAACCCTGATCTACACTTTTTCGCAACCTTCATCTTCTCGTCTCTAGTGTGAGGTGTGCATGCCTACTGCGCGGTTAATGAAGTTTGACGGGTGACAAGAAAGATGCAGGACGTTGCGTGACTGACGGCTCTCTTAGTTTGAGCAGCTGAGTCTGCTTGCAGATAAGGCGAATGTCAAGGCGAGAGGGGAAAAGAGTGGTGGTGGTGGTGATACCCTAATCGCAGCACCGCTCACACGCTTCTCGAATTTCTCGCAGAAAACTCAAGGTTTACTTCCGCCTGATGATAGCTTGCGGGGAATGAAAATGGAAGAAATCAAGGTTTAGAGGAATCGTTCTGTGTTGTGTGATGCTAGATCTCGATCGCGGGACCCACGCGATAGCCTCGAGCTGGATAAAACAAGGTCCTGCGGAAGGTCTTGCGGAGGAGGAAGGTCTCACTTTCGGAGTCTCGAGTCTCTGCAGGGAGGGAGGGAACTCGGAAGGGGGAGGAGGAGGAGGAGGGCGGTCCCACACCACGTGCGACGACTGCGCGGCGGGCGGGAGAGACCGCGTGATGTTCGGGGCCCGTATGGCTTCTCGCTGCTACACTATGCGATACGCCCGAGACATTCCGCGGGCGCTGTCATATTCACTGCGTATGTGTGCGTGGTTTGGTAGCGATTTTGGGTTATTGGATAAGAAAACAGGGCATGATGGTTTGGCTGCCTTGGTTTTGGACCTGTAAGACTACGGATATAATAACGAGAGCAGAAGGATGGGAAATTCGGAATGAGATTGTAGAAAGACCGTGGGGGAAATAAGTCGGGGCCTTGATTTTTGTGCTATATGAGAAGTTGTTATCGCGAGTAAACAAACGGGTTGTATGTCCCGGATTCATGGGGCCCCTGTCGAGAAGATGAGGCGGCGTCAATGCTCTTCCCCTCCCCCGCCGCCTGTTACGACTGACAGTTTGGCAGTGACAACGACGGCGACATGGGGCGAGGATGATAAACATGCGCTTCGTACGGAGTATACTTGGCTATCAACCACAGTTTCAAGGATGCCCCCGTTGTCGTCGTGTTGCCTGGCAGTGATGAATTCGA